GCCGCACACGTGAGTAAAATGACGCATGAGTCAAATTATTCAACGAAAATCCGCCGCACACGTGAGTAAAATGACGCATGAGTCAAATTACTCAATGAAAATCCGCCGTACACGTGAGTAAAATGACGCATGCGTCAAATTACTCAATGAAAATCCGCCGCACACGTGATTAAAATGACTCATGCGTCATTTTACTTGAGTAAAATAACTCAGGTGTGCGCCGGGCATTAGGCTTCCCCAAGACGCTCATGAGACGCTGTTGCGTCTCATAGTCGTCATTTGATGATTCAATTTTGGAGCAAAGTTGATGTTTTAATGTTAAGACAATGTTGATGTTTCAATTTTAAAACAATGTTGATGTTTCAATTTTGAAACAATGTTGATGTTTCAATTTTAAAACAATGTTGATGTTTCAATTTTAAAACAATGTTGATGTTTCAATTTTGAAACAATGTTGATGTTTCAATTTTAAAACAATGTTGACATTTCAATCTTTATTCAGTTTGCAAATTCAGTCTTTTTTTCCGCGTCATCTCAACGCGTATTTCCGGCGTTGTTTCAACATTGTTTCAACCACATTTTCTCGCTGAGCAGTGACGAGAGAAGGACAGATACGAAGAGAAAAGAAGGAGAATACTAGTACGCATAATGTAGAGGAAGGAAAGGAACAGGGAAGGGCGGCGAAGAGCAGTGAATGCGAATAGGAAGGAAACTGATGAGGAAAGAAGCTGATACGCAAGGAAAGTGAAAACTTTTGTGAAGCAAAGTGAAAAGTAAGGACATGAGGAAAAACAAAGTACAAGAATCGCAAACAACCGCGCAATGCGGAGATATGCCTTCGTTCGTTCATTAAGTCGTTCGTGACGACAGCGACGTAGATACCAGATGGCAGATCGGTGAGAAGTAGTATCTAAACTCTAACTATAGTCATGCAACAGCTACATTACTGAGTGGATAAAGCGGCTGTTCGCTTAAGTGGCGCGCGATATTTCGCGCCTGCGTGGCCGTTTAGTTGAAATGCCCCCGCTGCATGCGAGTTTTTAAATCGTAGGATGGCGACTGAAAATTGATAAATTATTCGTGCTTTAATACCCTGCCCCTAACCCTAACCCTAATCCTAACCCTAACCCTAGCCCTAACCCTAACACTAATCAGTCTCCATCCTACGTCACTATCAGTTACCGTCCTATCCTTCAGTCGCCATCCTACGATTTAAAAACTCGCACGCCGCATATAGTTGTGCAAAAGACAACTTATTGATCGGGACGATGTGGAAGCTATTTCGACGAGTTTTTGAGCTTGTGTGCAGGACTGCATTTGCGAAAGCGCCTGTACTATGTACTCCGAGTGCTGCGCCAGGGCATACGCATGCTATAACTTACGTGTATATATAGAGCGGTTTTAACTCGATCTCCTCGCCTTCATATACGAATTCGCGTAGTTATTCAATCAATAGACAAACGTAGACCTTGCTTGCAATTGCTACTCTATCGTCATTACATGAAAGCGTCATCATTTTACATACCTAGATTGTTCGGCTCGTGGGTACATTTTATCAGGAGTGAATAATAATAGAATTATCTATTATCTAGAATTATTATTATCTAGAATTGTCTATTATTATTCACTTCTGATTTTATCAACTAACCTGAAGTTGTTGTTATAGTTCATTATCTTATGAATTAAACATTAACTAATTACCTCCAGTGGTGAGCTTTCGGCGGATAACGATGTGAAACCAACGATGTCGCTAAAATATATCGTTACGCTTTCAAAAGCTTCCGGTTTGACGGTTTTGCCTTGGACCAACTGCCGTGCCACGCTCCTGTACGAAATTGTTCACACAATTCTATGCTTACCGACCGCTGTCGTTTAGTTACAAAATAAATTATATATAATTATTGCACTTAGTAGCAAATTTTGAAGATAGATGTAGCTATTTATAATTACTCATTGGTATCAACACAAGAGGAAACATGTAACGCTTTCAAGTTTGGCGGTATAAGCCCGCGGTGAGTAATACAAAGTATTATAAGATGCTAAATGCAGATGACGGAAATCCGTCATTAAACATGTGTGATGTAAAGTATTTACATAAAGGTAAAATGAAACGTAATTTAATTCATTCTTTCAGCCAATTAGAGTGATGGCTTGATCTAAAATAAATTGCTTTAATAAAATCGACTGAAATTCCAAACGATCTATGAGTGAGTTGACTGTAAATAGCATGCAGAATCGAATGTCACTAGAATGTCAGTTCTTCTATTAATTACACCGATGAAACTTCAGCGCAACTCTTCATACTGATTTGGCGGCATTTTTTGTTTGAAGTGAATTGATCGCGGTAAAAATGTATGTATACTGCTGTTACACTGTATCACGATAAAACTTAAATAATAGGCGCGTTCACACACAAGAAAAAACCGCGCTGCTCAGCCCGCTAATAGCGGCGATAATAGAGCGCTAATTGTGTCGTTGTTCACACAGGCGAATATCTCGCTAATCGCCGCGGTGCAAATATCACGCCGCGGTGCAAATAAGCGAGCTAATTCCAAATTAGCCCAGTCGGAAGTGGTCTTAGGAGCGCGCTATTTGGAGCGCGATTTAGTGAGCTAATTGCGTTCACACTTGTAAAAAGCTCAGTTTTTCGAGCGAGCTACAAAAACCGGGTTTTGCAGCCCGCTAATTCGCGCCAGTGTGAACGCACCTACTAGCTCGAAAAACTGAGCTTTTTACAAGTGTGAACGCAATTAGCTCACTAAATCGCGCTCCAAATAGCCCGCTCCTAAGACCACTTCTGACTGGGCTAATTTGGAATCAGCTCGCTTATTTGCACCGCGGCGTGATATTTGCACCGCGGCGATTAGCGAGATATTCGCCTGTGTGAACAACGACACAAATAGCTCACTATTATCTCCGATATTAGCGGGCTGAGCAGCGCGGTTTTTCTTGTGTGTGAACGCGCCTAATAAATAATATTAAAAACAAGCTCTTTGTCGAGCCGCACCTCGGCAATATTTCGTAGAGTAATTCTTCCGATTTTCGTTTCTCGTCGAGAAAAGCTCGTGTTCTCTCTTCGACGAGAGATTCGAGGTTGGTAGCGTACTGCTCCATCCTGGTAAGAAGGTGGTCGACCAAATTCGCACCGAGTTTCTGAAATCTTAAAAATGAAGCACACATACGCGAAAAGTTAGTTGATACGATACATGCAATGCAATCGATTATCGATTATCGATTCGCACCGCGTTTCTGAAATATTACAAATGAAGCGCACACACGACACGTTAACACATATAACGCAATGATGACGATAAGACAATATAATTCAATAAGACACGATACATGTAACGCAATTAGGAGTGTCACAATAGAGATCGTTAATAATAATATAATCAATCGTTAAATATAATAGTGTGCGTGCGTGCGTGTGTGCGTGCGTGCGTGCGTGCGTGCGTGCGTGTGTGTGTGTGCGCGTGTGCGTGTGACAGGATGCTCTACGGGCGGGGTGGTGATGTGCATACGCGGGTATGTGTCGAAGGGAGACCCTCATGCTAGTGAACGTCGGCCGCATAGCTGGGTTGTCATGCCAACACGTCGTCATCAGGTGGTAGCACTGTACGTCCTGCTGCACATCCGGTCTGAGTGGCTCACCGCACGGGTTCTTGAGTCTGGCAATTATATCTAAGTGCGGAAACCAAATCGAAGTGGGCAAGAGGGCGCAATGTTTCGGTCAAGATGGATATTTTTTTGATATCAATATCACCTGATTCAGTGCGCGTGCATAAATTAGCAAGTATAACCATATGTCGTAGGTACCAATGCGTTTCTAATCGATACGCCTTCAATCGATATGTTTTCAATCGATATGTCATCAATAGATATGTTTTTAATCAATATTATTTCAATCGATATGTCTTCAATCGATATATCTCCAATCGGTATGTTTTTAATCGATATGTTTTCAATCGTTACGTATTCAATCGATATGTTTTCAATCGATCGGAGCCTCTTGATATACTCTAATTTTAATCCCTTCGGGCGAAAATATAGTACGTGTAAATATTGTTTTGACTCGCATCGGAAACAGCGTTAAAACGACATCGTGAAACACGCAAAATTTTCGAGCTGAAAAAAAAATCGCAGAGCAAGGAGATGACGGTGGTAGAGGGGGTTGTTATGGTAACCGACCTGGTGGATCCATGCCCAGCATCTCGTACGGACCAAGCCGCGTTATGATCTCTTGCAGGATGATGGCAAAGCTGTACACATCACCCTTCTGTGAGCAACCCGCACGCATAGGCGCTGTCGCCGGCAGAAGCTCAGGCGCCGTCCATAGCAAACCTGCGAGTAAAAAACACATCGCTGAGATGACTTAAATATACATATAAAAAACAACACACACACAAATATACAAATATATTTATATATTAAATTTTGTATATACTTTTTTATGTAGTTTTTATATATTTATTTTTATATAATGTTTATATTTTAATAATATATATTTTTGTATATATATATATATACGTATATATACATATATACGTATACGTATATATATAATATATACAAATATATAAAAAATACTCGAGCTGTTATATGATTCGGACAGTTTCATATTTTATAGTATAAACAGGCGTTTAGACCGTAATCGCGAAACATATACTGTATATATATAATAAAATAATATACTCTAGATCTAGATATAATGTTATAGATTGTATGTGTAGTGTATGTGAAATACAATGGGATTTCATTGTTTTACGTTTCGCAGATTATATTTTGGGGAATGAAGTTTGTGATCAATTAAAGTGATTACGTCACCGTAAATAAATATAATCTCACATAAAATCACAAAATATAAGTAATTCTGTTTACTTGTTATAGTTAAATTGCTGCATTATACTTCTTATTTTACTATATTGTTCGATGTGAACATACACTCGTGACGCATACATAGCCCATAGTAAGCAATTAATGTCAGGAACACTAATATCAAATAGTCCAGGTTTTTTGTATTTTTAACTAGTTCAGAAACAATCTTATCAGGTAAGAATTTGACGATACGTTTAGTCCCGTTAGCTCTTACTTTTAATGTAAAAAAAATGGCAACAAAAATTGTACAAATTTTACCATAGAAAATTCGTGACGTAGTCAATTTAACACGAATATTTGACGCGAGCTTTTTTTACGTGCGCATGCGCGTCATCGTGCACTGATTATAAAGTCTTAGATGTGAAAAACTAAACGATTTCCGTGCCTCTGAAATAAGCATGAACGTTCAACTGCTCATCAGGACTTGACAAATATGATGAGATGTGATCGCTCAATGTTGATAGTCCAAAGTCGGTAATCTTGACCACGAAACGGCTATCGATGACACAGTTAGTCGACTTTAGCTGGCCATGGACTCGTATCGGAGAGTCGTGGATGGCCACCATACCCTGAAGGTCAAAATGAAGGTCAGAAACGAATACTTTTGTCAACCTCGAAACCTTTCACTTGTACCACCTGTTCATATAGACTCGAAATACCCAGTCGCGAGTATCATTTGTCGGTGTAGCAAAGCAGTATACGCTTAAATCGAATCGGTAAATCGAAATCAAATCCAATCGTCATTAATTGGATTAAGAAAGAACTCCGGTGATCAAACAAAAGTTAGTTCTTATCCTATTGGCAAACTAGATTGGGTTGGCACCGAGTGATCAAACATCGATATGACAATAAAACGCGAATCTAGTCGTTTTACACACCAATCGTTACGTTGGCCACGAAAAAAAAAATCGTATTTAAATAGATCTGTGGGCGGGGGGGGGGTCATTCCTAATGCCAGGCAGCGTCTACAGATCAATTGTCGTCAAGCTATATATCTTTGCAATTTTGTTTAGCCAATTTGGAACCGTCTTGTACAAGAGAACACGATGAAATTAACGTCATCTCATTGAATCTAAGCCATATATACATTTTATTCCTGTATCGTGAAATTGCTGGATCAGTTATACCTGTAGCAGGCGCAAATAGTTCCAAGTTGGAGTGGGCCCGAATCGCGTGAAACACAGACTTTACTAAGCTAGTTTATTTATTTTTTTAAGAAACTTTTACCAATATAATTTTATATAAATGATTTTTTTTCGAAAAATTGTGATTACCTCGAAAATGTCCCTCATCAGTGAGAACTTGAAGGACCAGTCTAATTTAATCGAGTCGTTCTGTAACATGTCCTGTCGAGTGTGTGCACCGCACGGGAGAAAAATATACATTATAATGAAATATGAACGTAAATATATATGCAGGAGAAAAATATAAATTATAATAAAATATAAATATAAATTTATATGCGATTCCGCTAAATAATGGATGGCTACTATAAGGAAACGTCAACAGCCACAAATACCAAGTATTTCATAATCATTACTTGATTAAATTCGAATACTTTCAAATTCAAAATTCAAATTCAAATTCAAATTATTCAAATTTAAAATTTGACCAATTTGACAACTTCGTCGTAACAGCAACACTGGGAAATTTCTCTCCGTCCTTTCTCTTCCCTCTTCATCTAACATGTACGTCGTCTTCATGTATGCAGTAGTTGCGCACGTGAGCGACACAAGGATACTACCACCGACGTTGATCGAATCACAGCTTAACATATACATATATGTCCATACTCCAACTACAATAGTGATTCTACCACAGACTAACAAATACATATTCCCATACTCCATTTACGACAGTGATTCTAGCACAGACTTACAAATCCGTATTCCAATTCTCTATTTACAATAACGATTCTATCACAGGCTAACGAATACATATTCCCACACTCAATTGACAATAGTGATTCTACCACAGACGAATAAATACATCGTCCCGCACTCCAATTACGATAGGAATTCTAGAACACGCTAAGGAATATGTATTTCATTAGGCTATGATTCGACCAATGTTGCGGGCTTTACCTGTAAGCTTCCTTTCTGACAGTAGTCGGTGAGTATGGCTGGATTTCTCAGATCTTCATCCATGACAATGCCCACGAACCTATTGATGTTGTCATGTTGTAACTGTCGCAGCTGATGGTAAAGCAAGCAATGTTATTGCTCATCGAAGACACCGCAAGAGTGCGAAAGACACCAGAGCGCGAAATTTACCGTAAGTACTAAATATTAATCTTAAAAGGATATATATTATATAGTCATTCCTATTTCGGGCGCGTCTGAACCTGTGAAAAGTGTTTCAACTTTTGTTGTTTATTTTCAGATTTTGAAGGCCTGGATGCATATTCAAGAGAAATTCTTATTAAATACGACTTCTTTAACATTTTTCGTAATTTCTTTCTATATATAGAAAAATACGCAGAAAAAACGCGGTAATAAATTATGCGAGCAAGATAAATTTTACAATTAAACTCATTAATGAAATTACACTAATGAAATACATTAATCAATGAATCGACAATTAAGCTCCTGATTTAATCGAAGCAAGTGACTCACTCTTCTGTAAAATAATTGCAAATGACGTGTTTTTCAATTTCGCATAACCAATGCATACCGATGCAATAATATAATAATATTAGGATGTGACAATATAATATACATTATAT